GTCATTTAGGGCTGTCATGTCTTCCGAAGGACTCTCAGGAAGGAATTAAAAATGTCGGGGGTTTGCGGCTGCACTTTGGCCCCCGCGGTTGGCCCCTGCGGCCGTGATCCTGACTACATGAGGTTAGCGGCCCCCCGATCATGACCATGGGTGATACATAGACTCTGGATTGAGGTAGTAATGCAGGTCGATGTTAAACTTTTAAGGTTCATAAAGTAAATTATTAGGAAAAGAAGGTTTCACACATGGTTGATAGTTGCTATCATTATCGTTAAATTTTTTACCAAAGCCGTCATATTGCCAGAGTTTTTTTGCTTTTTTTCTTGCTTTTTTTTTGTATAGACATATTTGGACCATTAACGAAAAAGTTAGCGAAAACACCAAAATTTTTGAACATTTATTTGAATTATCACAAGTTCTGCAATCTTTTCAACTAAAAAAATAATCAAATCCGCTGAAAATTTCAAAGTGTACAGATTTGGCTTGATTTTTTCATAATATATATAAAGTGTAGACTGTGAAATAAATGTCATGCCGATTCATCTCATTTTTCATTCTTGTCACTCTATCACGTGTAGGTCAACGACAAAAGTGTCGTAACTTTAGGAACTTTTCATGCTCAAAAGAATATGTTAAAAAATCTGAAGGGGGTCCGTAGATTTCGTCCTGATATTTCCAGAAATAATATTTTTTTAAAATTAAAAAATTATTTGAAATGTAAGATAAATCACGGCAAAAATTAGATACATGTTCATTTTTGCCACAAGGCTTGTTGGTTCCCCCCCTTGTGCTATCTGTAGCCCACGTGAATCTGTACTACCGGTCCCTCCGAATTTAGGACGACGGAGGTAGTGGTGGTTAACAAGTCTGACTCAATGAATGGTTGTACTAGAACTTGGATCATATGCTTAACCAACTTTTCGTTAAGTTTTGACATATTCGTTCCTTTTAGGTTCTTATCATATTAGGAGAATGTTATAACTATGGTAATTTATTTCACTTATATTTTGTCAAAGGAGATTTATTTTCACCCTCCTTATCTGAATCTTTAGGTATGCACCTCTGTTGCACCATGTACGCGTACGGAGGGAGTACGTGAACTTACTCCTAAGTACTCATAGATGCTAAAAAACCTGCATATGCGTACGTAAAAAAACAAAAAAGGCTACAAACCCGGGTCGCCCAGGTCACCCTCTTTTCTTACGCGGCCCAGCCGTGCAAGGACCAGGGAAGGTCCTAGCAAAAAAACAAAACGTTAACAAAAATCCGAAAACAAACTATGTTATGGGGAAAAATAAATTGAACAACATCAGTCTCAGGGTCACATCGAAATTCTTTACCATATTTATAACAAAAAATATATATAACATATATATACAAGGTAACCAGCGTTCGGGACGGGCCAAAATCCCAAGCCCGAACGCTCGAACGTACGGTGTGTTCGACAGCTCGGACCAAACGCGAACAAAAAAAAAAAAAAAAAAAAACTTCATAAAAATATGAGAAAAACATATGTTATGGAGATAAATAGAAAAACAACGTTTGCCTTAGCACTACATCCAATCAGTTACCAAATTTGAAATAAAAATAAAATATGAAAAATAAAACGAATAGAAAAAATAAGCAAAAATAAAGCGAGAATTAAAATCAGTGACTGAGCGAGTATGTTTTCAACACCGTCATCTTTTGCGAATTTTCCTTTTTGTTTAGAACAACCCAATGTTGTGAAACTGGTTGAACGTGCCGAACGCGCGTTCACGTTCAAACGCGTGCGTTCATACCCCCCCGGGCCGTGTTAAATCGTGTTCAAGTGCGCTGCGCGCCACATGGCGCAAACAAATTGAACGCGACCCCAAGGGGCGCGCGCGTGCGTCGCAGACTATGGGGTGGTGGGCTTCGTTCAACAAACCTCGAAAGTGCAAAAAAAAAAGGCCCCCAGAGGCCCACGCCCCCTACCGCGTCACCCCCCGCCATATGTGAAAGGTCCTCTTTTTTTTTCGCGGGGGGGGGGCAATCCCCCTAACACAGCTCAGACGGCCGATGCAGGCTATCTGAAGGGTCCTCGCAGCCATGCAGCGCAGACCTCCCCACCAGAATCGAGGCAGGTAGTGAATATGCAGTACATTACGACCCGACCGAATATATACTCAAGATTCAAATTGAGGTCTGTGTTTCAGCAGTTATGGGTTGCTCACATAGCTCTGCACGTGACTCTTAGGGCTTTCACGAAATGTGCAAACTTAGAATGAAACTTCTGCAGAACGTGGAATAATACGCCACCATATGTTTTGTCTTTTGTGCATTTGGTGAGTAGAGGCCCTTAGGGCCACTGCACGTATTCCTAAGAAAAGAAAAACGAGGAAAAAAAAACGAAAAAAAAGAAAAACAAGAAAAAAGAAAAGACATGCACAAAAGACAAAATATATGGCAGCGTATTATTCCATGTTCTGCAGAAGATTCATTCGAGTTTTGCACATTCGGTGAGTAGTGCAGCCAAGCCCTTAGAATCACGTGCAGAGACCAACATGGCCTAGCAACGTGAGCAACCCATAACTGCTGAAACACACACCTGATTTCGAATCTTTAGTATATATTCGGCCAGCTCGTAATCTACTTCATATTCACTGCCTGCCTTGATTTTGGGGAGGGGGTATGCGCTACATGGCTGCGAGGACCCTTCAGATAGCCTGCATGGGCCGTCTGAGCCGTGTTAGGGGGATTTCCCCACCCTCCCGGCCCACAAAAAAAGGACCCTTCACACACACTTACACACACATTCACACACACAGAGACACACAAATTCACACACACTTTTTTTTTTTTTTTTTTT